CTTCATAGATTACCAAAGTGTGAAGTGACAAAACCTAACTTTTTTTAATTGTTCAGATTCATTGAAATATCCTTAAGGGACATTCCACCATATCCTAGTTTGACAACTGAAAATTATACATTATACAAGTGGTCATATACAAATTAAAAACGGCTTAGTTTGACTCAAGTCAAAGAAGCTAGCACTCATTGTGTTCCAAGGTTGGACGAGCTGATGGGGAACTAGGGCTAGTGAGAAAAACAAAAAACTAAAATTTGTGTTAAACGATGAGATGCCTTCGAATGGCAATTCATTCATGACTCACACCTTAAATACTCTGCATATGTAAATACCCATGTGATGGGTATTACGAAACTTCGTTTACTTAGTCACTTATACTTAAGTGCTGACACGCGTCACTACCTCACTGTGTACATTCCATACCGCTAATAAATATAGTCACAACAATACTTTTCCATTGTTATTACCTAATGAATTATTAATGATTTGATTATATTTTATAGAAACTTCCCTTGATGATCTCAATTCTCCTGCCTCATCGGTTGACAAGAAGAAGACCAAACTATTAAAAAGACCAAGTCTAGGCTCATGTAAAACTCAATGAATATTATTATAATCATGATGTAAATATTGTTAATATTTTTTAATTATGTTATCTTTATTTACTGGAATATGAAAGGGACATGGTCCACCAGCATTCAGTCCATTCATTCAGAATTTTTCATATTATGGAAAATGAGAAATATCCATTTGCAATCCATTTTCATCCATTGGGTTTAAAGGTTGAATCTTGCAATATCTCCTCCATCATTCCAATATAGTACAAGGGGATAATAAAGAGTAAGTTCTTGCTTATATTACGATGTATTTTTATTTTTAAACATGAGCAAAACCTCGAAAAAAGGATGCTTGTGGACCATGTCCCTTTAAGAATTACTTCAAATGACCTTATTAAGCTGAGGGAAATTGTTAAGTTAAAGTCCAGACAGCCACAGATCTTGAGATTCAGTCTTTGGAGGGCCATTTAATGGCTAACATCCCTCCCTCATGAATAACATCGGGAAAWTATTCATTTTGGACTATTAGAAACAAATCTTCCTTTGTGCTATTCATGAGGGTTAGATGTGTAAGCCATGAAATTGCCCTCCAAAGACAATGGATACAAAGGTGATCGTGGTATTACTCAGATACAATGAATGGGCAACTCTRCTGCTATCATATCACACTAATGATTTGTCAGAACTTCATTGTCAACGTTTTATTAATTAACTTTTAGACAGTCGTCTTTTTTTGAATGCTAAGCATTCATCTTTAAAAACTCTTGGCCACTTGGTTGATAATTTATTTCTACTTAATCAGATGCATTTCCTTATTATGATATTTATTTCCATACCTGAAATTACACAATGTAATACACAACTTTCAAAAATGGCAGTAGTTCACAGCCGCCAATATTGCGGACTAGTGACAAATCATGGAAATGAGACCTCAAAAGCCTTATGTCTAGAAATTACTACAAAGATCGCATGTAGGCTAGTGTCTTAAAGTTTGAAAAATGTATTTGGTATGTTGTTTGAAAAAAACACTCTTGCAAGACACTATCTTAGTTTACTATACAGAGACTGGCCTTTGAGACCTTAGTGCTTTGCAGTGGTCAACAACCGTGACATATCACGCCATTTTTGAAAGTCGTGAATAGAGGACATAGAGCACCAACACTAAAATTACAAAAAAACTTTAGTAATTAAGTAGTGCTCAATTGCACTGAATTTTGAGAAGTGCTTGGTTTTTCATTATCTAATCTACACTATATTGCACTACTTGGTTTTAATAGTACTTATTCATGCTTATAGTGTTTGCACTCTAAACCTTTTTGGATTTAATTTCGTAGCAATAGATGCATGTTGTTGGGATAAAATTGAAAATTCATTTACAGTAAATAAAAAAATAATTCCTTAATTGCTGCTGTSTTTTTTGAAACAGTTATCCCAAAAGCTGCCATATATTCTTCGTTTTCACTATACATTGCCACCTCCATCTTGGAGGAACTTCAGCAAAGGATTTCTCATTAGTATGTACCATCACTCTTTTATCTTTTGAATCTTATGGCAAAATTTTTATTGTCTATCGGCTCCTATTTAGTCTTCCCCTCCCCTCCCCTGTGATATAGTCTTCCCCTCCCCTCCCCTGTGATATAGTCTTCCCCTCCCCTCCCCTGTGATATAGTCTTCCCCTCCCCTCCCCTGTGATATAGCCTTCCCCTTCCCTCCCCTGTGATATAGTACTTTTTACCACACTGGCGTAAATTCTTTTGTGCCATGATTGGCTGATGAGAGTGTGTCAATAAGAGRACATGCACACTGTGCTGAAAACATCACATCTCATGCTCAATTGAAAGGAAAGAATGTTTTTCGCTAATATTTAGACAAAATGTGGTATAAAAACAAATTGCACAGTCACATTTTTCATTTCTTGCTGCGCTCGTGGGTCCACTTGAGTTTTGAACATTTTATGACGTCAAGAGTGTGTCATTAAGAGGACATACAACTCAAAACCATAAGCAATTTGTTAAATGTGAGTACTCAATGCTAAAGTCCCCCCCCCCCCCCAAAAAAAATGCTATATAGTTTATTATATTATCTAATTCCTTTGCAGTGAGACCTAAAATCCAATTCACCAAGAATCCAATTTCTCTAAGAGAAATAATTTCCCTAATGGACAAATGCCCTGGGCCCATTATGCAAATTTCAGTTTATGTTAATTAGGATTTATGTGTACAAATTGATCATCGTGGTCAGAGCATTCGAGCTATACACACACAATGATATTATATTCTCTTTCATATGATTTTCTGTCCCATTGTGGAAAATAGCCTTTATAATGCAAGATGCTCTTCCCATCACCTGGCTAAGACATTGATGTTTTATTAATAGTCAGCCATTTGACTGGGTARATTAATGGTTAYCCAACTRGCAATGCATCTTGGGCAGCATAATATTCCAASCTWTAATGCAACTTCATCCAATCATCAGGTTTGTGTCGTGTCATTTTCAAGTCTTGGGATAACTGGTAGTATAAGATTRCCATATAATGAATCTTGGGTAACGTAGTATCCTGGTGACACTGTATTGGCTTGCTGGAAAAGAACGCAAACAATATTCAACCATCATTTTCATGAAAATTGGTTTTGCAGTTATCTRCTTTACCTCCAGTGCTTGCCGTTGACTGAGTGTAAGTTGATGGTTTTCAGTGCGTAAAACCTGAATAATATATGCCAATAAATAATGATTTTAAGGGCGTAATTTTAGTGAATAACTGTCTTAAAGTAGCCTGTGAAAATCTGTCCCTAGCCCTCCCCTTGCTAGTCTCCTTTGCAGCCTACCCTTTTGTCGGGCTTCCTGTCCCTCCCAAAAGACAGGAAACCCGACAAAAGGGTAGGCTGCGAAGGAGATTATCTATCCCCTTGCACTTGCAGGGTGGGAATGATGTATATACAAGCTTAATATATAACTGAAGATTCAATTGGCCTGGTTTTCACAAATGTAAGCACAAAATTGATGTACCAGTTCACACACAGAAAAAGCAAAATATGCAAGAAAATCAAAAACAGTTTCATATTATTTTAATAKTACATTTTCATTTATGCTGCTTGTTTTGTTCGTGTGAACCAAGCTTTTGACTGAATAAAATTTGTGCCACATTTATGCAAATCTAGGATATCTCCATCAATAATTAAAGCAAACTTGATGCTTACCACAGAATCAGAGGGTCTGGAACCATGACTTGATCCTGGACTGATGGAGCTGTAGATCATATCAATGTGAGCCGTGTGAACCACGTTTAAATTCAATTTTATTCAAAATTAAAGAGTTTGTCTTTAAAGCAAATAAGGTGATCATGCGCTTRCCCTATTTTGAATGTCATGCATGAAAGTGGACTTTTCCGAGTATTTTTGGCAAATGATCAAAATGAACTTRATGTCTAGCTATTCCAATCACTCTAAAAGTTTGATTTTTTTTWAATAAGCTTATTAACAATGAAAGATATTTGAAATAACATCCTCTAGTTACTTAGAAAAGTTGTAATTTTAACAATGAAATGAGCTACTATTTCTTATTACACCAATAGCATGTAACTTAAGCTTATATTGAAAATAAGAAAGCCATTGTTGTTTCATACATGTAAGTTTAATTGTTTTAAAAATCAAACTTTTAGAGTGAACTCTCAGGACGACAAAGTAGTATTTTAACCTTGTATTTGCGGCTGTGGACTGTTGGCTCATCATTTGCCTCTTTCTTTCCTGCAAATCCTGYAAAATCTTTCTATTCTGACTCTCTGTCATGGCAAGAACAACATATGAAAAGAGATGAAAGATTCTGGTGGTCGTTTCAAACACACATTTTTTGTAAATAAGTAAAAATGAAGTAATAATGAAGCTTTACACACCTTGGCCTCCTTGAGGTTGAAAAGCCATCTTTTCAGGGTAWTATGGATGCAAATAATCCAAGAAAACAGCGGTTAATTTGCTACAAATTTGAAAAATAATAGGAAACTTCAAAAGTGATTACAAAAGGGAATCCACTGACCTTTAGGAACGCGGCTCATCGTCTACGGAAAAGTTTATAAAAATTGTCATTAACTTTAATAAGTAAGTCATATATTTCTGCCTATTAAAAACACGAGATACAATATTTTGTATTCTAAACACTACAGTTAAAGTAGTGATAACTATTGAATAGTTTTTATTAATTTTCCCGCCAAAATGAATGACTAATTACCAGTCTCCTTGAAAGCCGCTCGTCCTGGAGGGTGACACATCAAAATTTACGCAGATGAAGATGAAGTTGYTCAAAGTCGTCTAGTAAATACCTGCAGATCGACGACTAGGAGAATATTGTTGGACAATCAAAAGAAAGGATTTTGGCACTTGCATATTTTAATCAGACTTATATAAAGCGAGCGAGTCTAAATTACAGATTGCGTGATGATCGTAAGAGTATACCCCGTTCTTCTCGCGATCCTTGTGCAGGCCCTCGTTACTGCAGAAAACGGTAGGTGTTTGTTTAATTCTTTTCAGTTGAACTAATTCATATTGATTATTGAAAGAAAAATAGGAAATTACCTGAGTTATGCATCATACCATTTACTAAATTGTGAGATTTATTTATAAACTTTGAACATGAACATTGGACATAATTGGCATCTTTATTATTTTTGCATTAATTAAACTCGTTACATGCACGAATACACTCGTGATTAACGCCGCTACTTGACCTTCCCAAATAATTTTWAAGTCCAGATAATTTTCAAAAATGCATTGTATTTTTCCAGAATGCTAATGATGCACAATGAATGAATTTCTAAAAATCATATTTAAAAAAAGACCCCTTCTGCTATCCTCCTTATTTTCTTTCTTCCATAAGTTATAACTYACACAACTCCATTCTTTGTTGCTGTTGTTTATAAAAATTTGATGGAACAAGAACTTCTGCAATTCTTACTTTTAAGAAAGGTTGACCCCTGCCTCTCCCCTAAGGGGTGATCCATTTGACTTTTTAGGGGGGKTTTAGGGGGGATGGAAGATTTTGAAAAAAAAATCCCTGCAAGGCAAAATTTCCACTTCAGCTTTTGTAAATTAAAAACAAATTGCAAGCGTGCACCTGAAGTAAAGAAAAAATATTGCTCAACTATAATTTTGCTAATYATTTCTATAATTTCATAGTCCCATTCAGTCCTCATATTTATATCTTAGTTAAAAATGCTGATTATTCTTTGGCTGTTTATTTTAATCTATTTATAAACATCGATGACAGCCAACTGTCAACAGATCATCGGTCATGCTGAGAAATCCTTACTTGTCTTAAGCTTGGTAAAAAAAATCTATAAAGAACAATATTTGGTAATGTATACATCATCCCTGCGACTTGTTGTAAGATTTTGAAAAATTGTGGGTCACACACATCTAGTGTCGTTAGACTGGTTAGAGCCTTTTACTAGGTACGATTCCGTCTTGTACACCATGTCGCATTATGCACCTCTGCATTTAGACTGCATTGGTTTCATAATACAAACTGCAGGTCTGGACAGAACTGTCCAATGAGTTTATCTGGCCTTTTGGTTTTCAGTCTGTTGCTCTTTTAATTTTAGAATTTACCCTCAAGCAAGTTGTAGTTATATCCCGTCATGGAAGTAGAGGGTTTTTAACAAAGCACCACACAACATTCAAAGAAGATGAGAATAGTCAATTGACTGTGAGAGGGATGAACCAGATGCTCCAAGCGGGTCAATATGTGAAKCATCGCTATAATGGAACAATAAAGAACTTTCTAAGTGCTGAATACAATTCTAGTGAAGTTTATGTCAGATCAAGTGATTATCCAAGAACCCTTTCTAGGTACGTATGAACTGTCTTATAACTCATTGTGATTCGTCACACAAATACATATTATTGCTCGCATGTCTGACGACCGACTCCCAAAGAAACTGCTCTTTGGCGAGCTACAGAAAGGTAAGAACTCCCAAGGTGGACAGAAGAAGCATTTCAAGGATACGCTCAAAGCCTCACTGAAGGCCTTCAGCATCGACCACAAGGTTTGGGAGCAGGCAGCGCAAGACAGAGGAAAGTGGCAAACAGCTGTCCACAAAGGTCCCAAAGCTTGCAAGGCAAACATGATCACTGTGGCTGAAGATGGCAGACAAGCCAGGAAGGCCAGAGCTGCCAACCCAATCTATAGCTGCTACTATCCCCTGTCCACACTGCCCGAGACTTCCATGCCCAGATTGGCCTGACCAGTCATCTGTGCACACACAGATCCCAACTCCCCCAACCTTAGGATGAATAGTTGGTCCTTGTCCTGTTGTAAGAGACAGGAGATGGACGCAGTGCAATTGACAGCTACCCCTCTCTCCCCCTAATCATTTAGCAATCCTCTAATCTATTGCATCAAAGCGAGACAGAAGTTGAGCTTGCAATGATAGATACCTGTGAATAATTTTCTTAGCTGTGAACAAAAGGTATCTATCACTGCAGGCTCAACTTTGATGCAAAGGCTACCTTAGTTTCAAGATGGCGCTTGGAACTGTAAAATTAATATGTATTTAAAATGGTATTAAGCAATCTGTTATAAGTCCATGGTTCATCAGTTCCTCAGTTCACCTCCAATATTCTATGATACAGAGTGGTGTATTAGCATAATCATAGACCTAATTGACTAAAACGTTTCCACACAATTCAAACCATACCTGGAGTAAGTTTCATTGTTCATTGTTTCTTCATTTCACAGTTGAATTCTTAGAAACTAAAAGTTCTTTTTCCCAGAGGACTTKAATTGCGCGTTAGCATACATGGCAAGGCATTAGCTGAATACAGAAAAGGTCTATTAGCAGCTATTTTGTACTATTTAGAAATGTAGGAGTTAGTCTTCTAAGGGGGTTATAATATTTTTTTACATCATGCTTRACTGWTATGAGCAAAAGGTATTTYAACAATGCTCCCCAYCATAAAAAGKGAGTGCCCCAGGTGTCTTTMATATCYCAATTTAAAATGATTTSCRCAATAACTTTGTATCAATTTATCTGCAGTGCCCAAAGCTTTCTCTTGGGATTATACCCTCCAAGGAAACAGATTCAGAAAACTTATAATCCTGATAAAATGTACTCAGCACCATATGATGTTCAACAGGTAAATTGTGAAGCGTAGTATCCAAGGGTTGGAAATTAAGAGACCACTCCAAAAATTTGAATGARTGATCAATACACAAATAGCTAAGTAGTCCCTGTGTAGTCCAGTCCAAGACCTTTTTTAGCCCTCGCCATTGACCTGTTGGTCACAGGAAAAAGGGTCCAGAAGCTATACCCCTCTGCAGCAGGTGCTATCATGTCATGTGATTGACTCTCCACCAATGGGAGCAGAGGAAAATGTTTGTTTTTGAGTTATACAATAGGGTGTCCATCCCAGCCTAAACTTCCCGGCGTTTATTAGATCATTTACGGTAATGCAGACTGTATAACATGTGCTCCAATTGGCTGATATACAGCTTTTTCAAAAAACGTTGTCGGGGACATCGGCGAAAGGCGATTGCCGAAGGGAGTTTGCATGACCGAAAGGGACTATGGTTACACTGTTTTGATAAACAAAATTTCACTTATTGGATTCACCTTTGATAGAAGTGGAGACTAAATGGAGCCAATGTTTACCACAGACCATCTTACAGTACAAATCAGATGTTATTGCATTTCAACTAGAAGAACCCATGACTACTTTCGGTCGTGCAATCGCCATTCGACCATTGACATTCGCCATTTTATCCGACAACCTTTTTTGAAATAGCTATATATCAGAGGTTCTGAAAGACATTGCTTGTGCTCTAGCCACAGGTAGCCCAAACCTATGACGTAATGAGTTTACCAATGGAATAACTGATTAGTCTCACATAATTCTTTGAAATTATGATTCTCTGAAATTCACTTTCCGTCTATCTTCCTTCCAGGTTCCAATCCACACTRTTGCAGTGAAAAATGACCAGTTACTACGTGGTTGGTTGCAATGTCCAACCTTTCAAGACAAGATAAGTCAGTTTTAYAGCAGTGAAATGTTCAAAAAGAAGGAAAAAGAGAATACTGAATTCATGAAGTCTCTGGAACAAATCACAGGAATGGAAAATATTGCATTGAAAGACTTCTATAATGTGTATGGAAAAATGGAATTTAATTTTCATAGATCTTTACTCATACAAAACAAAACAAAAMACGTATGTTTTAACCTTTCCTGAAAGTTGGGCATTTAGGTCAATTAAGTCCATAAGTAACGCGGTAATTGCCCTTGTTCATTAACATGACGTCACATCAGTACATTCTGTTGTATTAACGCTAAATTTGATAAACTCGCTACGCTCTTGTTTCTTTAGCTTGCTTCTCGTGTTTTTCAACTCTCACCGTGTTTATATCAGAGGACAGAAACACGTGTGCCGTTTTATATTTCTTAAATATCAAGACACACGACTCACCAAATTTCACTAAACACGATTCCACTGATTTTGAGCATCGTTCCAATGTAAACATACATCTGACGCCATAAAGAAATAGGGAATGAAGAAAAGAAACATTGAAATCATTCAAGATGATTTTCTTTTCACTAAAATTTACAGTATCATTTTCAGACTTGAATTAAGTACATGTATATTCATTTTAGATACGATTTCATCCACCTTCACATTGCATATGGTCAACTGTACTTGAACATCACTGATAAGCAATGGAGTCGASTAAAAGACCTCGCTGACTGGYTRGARTACCAAAAATACAACAGAAATAACATTCAAAGTATGGGAGCTGGTCTTCTGTTTAATGAAATTATCCTTAACTTTGGTAGTACGAAGAAARATAAACGAAAAGCTAAGGTAATGTAWGGACTTCTTTTGTGCCTTTTAAAACGGTCAAAACGCGCAAGGAGCTTAATGGATTCATTATCAATTTGAAATATTTATTTAAAGATCAGGCCTCGTCTTCTTATATTTATTATTATTGAGAAATAGAATAACAATTTGAATGTACTTATAACATTTTTAATGTTATATGCCGACATGTTTCGAGGTGCTGCAGACCTTATCCTCAGTGTGGATACTTTACAACGAATTGTGATTTTAGAATATGTTTGGAACAAACACTGAAATTTTAAATATCACGCGTTATATTTATCCCAAATGCCACTACAAAACATGCTATTACCTATTTGCTATTACCAAATATAATATATAGTACAGTACACGAGAGTATATTTCACGTATTTATGATAACCAAGCGTAAAAGCTCCTATTCCATTTAATTTTCAGCTATTATACTACTCCGCGCACTACCCGACCATCTTGTCTCTCTTTTCTGCACTTGGTGTAAATGAACACGACAAAACTTTGCAAATAATTCCATACTATGCATCTCTGGTCTTCCTGGAACTTTACCAGGCAAATACTGGAARTGGTGAATATTACGTCAAGTTTGCATTCAGAAATGGTTTGCAGAATGACACAGGAAAGGTATGACATATGGTGTTGTACAGTATTCTTTTGTTTCTGATATTTGCCATGCGCGCGCTCAGATTAGCTTTGCCGATGTGCCGGGTGTCGGCGAATTTTGTGGTCATTTTGATCCTAGAGAATATTTCTAAAGAATTAAATTGTAAACTCTTATTCAGTAAACTGAGATGAGCTAACTAAAATTTTCTTCAGAAGGATAAGACAAGATTCATTATATTTTTGAAAATCAACCGGAAAACTGCAGCAAAAATCGCCAGTGTAAACGGGACTTTTGGATCCCATCTAGCGGCGTATCGACTGTCAGTAAGAGATTTTACAAGGGAGAGGAATTAGCTGAATTTGTGGCAATTTACTGTATTGTATTCTGTAGTTTTTGGTCTGTTTCCATGCCGATGTCCTTACGTCGTAAACTTACATTTACGTTGAACTTACAGCTTGCGGTTATACACGTTTACGTTTCTATTTCATTTTACAGGATACGTTCCAGTATTACGTAATTCCTGGATGTGGATCAGTTATGTGTTCCTTGGACAAATTCGTTAATTTGTTGAAACCTTTGAAAGTTCACGATACAAAATCGTGGTGTAGCGAATGTAATAATGTCAATTTAAGCACGTGTAAGCTTGGGAAGCCATACAACAGGTAGGACTRGATTTCTTTTTTATTATCAGATATCCTCCTCGGCAGGTATCTCACTTTTCCAGTTATTATTTTCCTGTAAATGGTCAACAAGTTTTCCTCGACAATTCTTCCTTGACAATGTTTCTTTGCTAGTGTAAACGAATTGAAGAACAAGTTTTCCTTGACAAGGAAAAATTGCCAGTGTGAATGGTCAAGAAGTTTTCCTTGCTGACCATTTTTCCTTGCCACATTTTCCTTGTTGTCCATTTACACGAGCAAATTTCGTCCTTGACAATTTATACTTGTCAAGGAAAAGCGAACATGTTGGCTTTYCCTTGACAAGGAAAAATTGTCAATTTTACCTCATTTACACGASCAATTTTTCCTTGTCGAGGAACACTTGTCAAGGAAAAATTGCTCGTGTGAACGCCGCTTTAAAATCAATCRCATTTCTCCATTTTTTCACAGGAAAGTGGCTAAGACCGCAGTTGGCAGCTTTTTCACTGGATTTTTTGTATGCTTGATTTTGACTATAGTAATKCTAGGYGTTTGGCATTTTTGTCTAAAGAAAAGATGTCTAAATAGACGACCAAGACATGGACTACCGGACCTCGAGYACCGACTGGCGGGTGCAATTTGATGCATTTTCAACCAAGAACTTACTTCAGAAGTAACCACAAAAACAATCATGGCATCGTTTGTGTAGATTACTGAACATTTTACATTGCATTTGTATTTAAACGTTTTATAATTAAMTCATTCGTATTTCTGGTAATAAAATACAGTCATTTGCAAAAGTTATGGCCGTTAATATTTAACAATTAGACCTCAAGGTCGAGTGGACTACGAGCTAATAGCCCATGAGGCCGGTAGAGTCCGCGAGGCCGAATGGGCTATTAGCTCGTAGTCCAAGAGGCCGAGGGGTTTAATTGTTTTTAGTATAAACATACTAATCGGTCAAATAATGAAAACAAATTGAAATTTGAATTTTATTTTGATTTTCCCGCGAGTGGTCTATCACAAATTAGACCATTAGTAGAGTAGCAGTATGAGTGATAGACCATTAGTATGTTTATACTAAATATCATAGGCTKGTGCATCATGGGTAATTTCATGTTATTTTCTCTCTTTTCTCGCTAAAACAGATGTGAAAACATTCATATATTTGAAATTATGTTTATTAAAGGTTGTTCAAGCGTAATGAGCATTTTTAAATTTGAAATACCAGCCTTATATATTGATATATTCATATATGTGTTAGTGGACAGAATTTCTTCAATTTACTGTATACAGTCATGTACAAATTCAAAATCTCACTTTCATATTGCTTGAAAAAAGGATTTTTTGTATTTTTGTAGTTTCCCCTGTCCTTTAACAGGGTCCGTGCAGGTCCTAAATCCTTGAAAAGTGCTTGAATTGAACACTCGTTTTCAAGGGCACTTGAAACTCCTTGAAAATGTGAAAATTTTGAAAAAGTCCTTGAAAACTCCTTGAAAAAGATTGATCTCTATCACGAAGCGATATCGATCTCTGAATTATTCCGTTCGGCTGAGGTTTTGAGGTAAAGAATGTACAATTAGCATGATTATGTGTTCCTTGAAAATACAATTTTGTTCCTTGAAAAGTCCTTAAATTTCGTTTTTGAACGTCTGCACGGACCCTGCTTTAAGGATGGAGTAGTCCCTAGTTGTCGAAAGGTGTCTGTAAATTATTGTTATTGTTATTATTTTAGTCAATAAACTTCAATTAACTTTTTCTTTGCGTCCGTAAAAAGTAAACAAAAATTAATTGACRGATATCGAACGAGATAAAAAGCTAAACTTTAGACATATTTTTCGAGTTTGCCTAAAAGAATTTATTAACAAATGCTTTTAACATGTCTTTTATGTTCAATTTTCGAAAGACATCTCTYTGTTTAATTGCCACTTCTTTAGATAGTTTACAAAGTCATTAACTGAACTCTTTGTTTATTTTGGTAGCATTGTTTARAAATATTAGATCATAATGTTTTCTCTTCAATATTTACCAACTCTGTGAGATACCCTGGTTTGTTTATTCAATTGTACAATAATTTTCCATCCTAGTATTTCGAAATTCTTGTCCAAAGTCATCTTCCTGAACTCTGTTATCCACAAAAGAAAGAATTTGAACTATTTGAACAATAATGAAGGGATATGTTGCCATGTTAGACACTGTTTAATGCACAAAAGAAATTCAAATTACTTTATCCTTCAAAGAGTTCAGGGGAGCGTGAAATCCTGTTAATTTGAACACTACACAATTCGCTCAAATTCAACAACTTCTGTGCGTTATTTCGTCTAGTAACTAACGCAATTTTAAGTTAAAATAGGCTGAATGTTTGGAACATAATATGGCTTTGTGACGACAAGAAACTGAGCAAATCATCCATGGATAAAAGTGCTTTAATATTCGAATTYGGTCAAGAAATTCCGCGTACACAGACAGAAGATTTGAAGACAAACAACCAAATTCACAAAGGCCATGTATTATGCAAACGAAAAAGTATACACGAACTACTGAAAGATGAAAAAAAGCGCTTAGTTTTACCCAACATMGCTTCTACTACCACAAATGAAGTTCCTCAAGTTCTCTGTAAGAAGGGACAGCTTAAAAAGGGMTACACTTTTGCGCGAAATAATAATACCGACCGAGAAAAGAGCAACCTAAATGACSAGGATGTTGAGAGMATTTTGCTTCTGACTTCACTAGAAACAAGTTTGGATATCGCCGATAAAAATATGTGTAATTCCAAGCAAAGTATACAAGACACTGAGGTGACTCCAGAGCATGAAGCTGCAAATGTCAAAACTGCAATAAAAGACGGTCATTATTCTGTTAGTTCCACCAAAAGAGTTTCAGAGGAACCAAAAATTATGAAAGAGCGCAAGCAAAGGCATTCTGAACGCAGAACGCACAATGCTTTTGTGAAGAGAAGTCAACCAAAAGACATAGGAGCATCCATGTGTACGCAATCATTCAATTCACTATGTACAGAGCTTACCATGTTCAAGGACACTTTCAAAACAACAGCTGTCAAAACGACTTCTGTGAAACCACCCCGAGATGCCCAAACTTCTCCTTACAGCCCTTCGAGGAGTAGCTCGGTACAAAGCTCAACTTTTGCGCTTTTTAGAAATAGAAGACGTAGTTTGGTAACAAGTTCTCAAGAAAGCAGACTTGCAATGCTGAGACGCTCTTCAACGCGAAGTATGCCTTCACACATACAAAAGAGCGAAGAACCACATAAGATTCTGGCCGAAGGAATTCATTATACAAGACGGAAAGAGAGCAGTGCCTCTGAAGGCATTACATGTAATGACTGTTGTGTATGTGCCAAACAGCCCCATGTGCATTTCAACATGAAAAATGAATCGGTTGGCAATGCAAACGAGAAAACTGAGCACTCACAGGAAGATTWCGACTGCTATAGTCCAAATCAAATCAAACTAAATAAGACTCGCAAGGAATTTMCCAACAGAGTTGACAATCCCCCAAAAGCCTTAAGCCTTCCCAGGATACCTTGYAAGGCAGCTGTCGTAGAAACTTACATGATCCAACGAGCTACGTCGGATCCCGATGTATCTCCGAGGRTCAGGACGAAAATCGCGCGAACAAGTCACGAATGGCCTGAAGATAGGACTATACATTCACCATYGAAACAAACTTTGATAAATTGTAAATGCAATGGGTGGCTGGATAGATGGGTTCAAAACAATTGATGTATGTGACAGACAGACAGTATTTATTGGAATTAAGTGCCTATGACGCCTGACAAAATAATTTCTGATTCTCTGTGAGCTGATTCTATATAAAGTAAATAATTGAATGGTGAAATATTTCTGCATTTCAGTGTTGCGTCTTTTTCCAGTATGCTAATGATAATGACGTCAAGGGAGGCTTCATTAGATATACGAACTTTGAAACAATCGCTCAAAAATGTTTTCATGAACGCCATCTGGGAATATTGTTATTCCCTACATTGCATACAATAAATTTAATGCCATTAAACCATTTTTAAGCGACTCCTTCAAAGTTATATATATCTAATGAAGCCTTCTTTGGCGTCATTTCATTAACATATTGTAAGATTGAACCTTCATAACTCAAAGACGCAACAATGAAATGAAGAAATATTTCACCATTCAACTATTTACTTTATATAAAATCAGCTCACAGAGAATAAGAAAATTTTTTTGTCAGGCGTCATAGGCACTTTTTAAAGTGTGAAATAGCACTGCGGTGTTACGCCRTGTGTAGCGTTGACGGACTCCTGGGAGAAACGCACTGCGCACGCTTTGAAGGACATATGGTAACTAGGGGGCAACTACAATCTCGTTCCAGAGCCCGCGTTCCTCTTGGCCTGAGGGTGGTTGCTCGCGCCCGAGATGGGGAAACTAGAGCTTTGCACAAAATCGAAAAATTAAACAAAAAATAAGATAAAAATATTGAAAAGTAAAGATTTTCTTTGGCACAGTGAAATGATATATTTATTTTCAACACCCACTGACTGAAGTATATTATTTTGAAAAGAAATATGTTTGCCGTTCGTGTGAATGGAATTTTTGTTGTTTAAGAGGCAGGCATGTGTAATAATAATAATAATAATAATCTAAGCTTATAAAGCGCTTATAAAACTTTTTCTAAGCGCAAATAAAAAGGTAAAAATTAAGATATTAAGAAAGTTAAAATAGAGTTACAGATCATAAGTTTGTTTAAAAAGGAAGGTTTTGAGAGCAGTTTTAAAATTGTCAAGTGAAGAAATGTCTCTGATTGAAGATGGCAGTGAATTCCATAGAATTACGCTTCTCCCCTGGGAAACAAATGAAATTTACGTTTGTATAGTCAATAACTTTTAATTTTTTAATGTTTAAAAAATTAAAAAGTTTTAACACCAAAAAAACATTTCATTTATCAATATTGATTTTCACTTTTGGAATTAAAGTGCTGATTCGATATAATAACCACAGGGTCCGTGCAGGTCCTTAAATCCTTGAAAAGTGCTTGAATTGAAAACTCGTTTTCTGAATTATTCCGTTCGGCTGAAGTTGTGAGGTTAGAATGTACAATTATTCCTTGTATGTATTTTTTGTAGTGTCATTTATATTTTAATTTTTATTGTTGTAATTTTTAAGTTTGATATCTTGGGACGGACTAAGAGCGGCAGCCATGAGGCGCCATCTTAAGCTCGCAGTCTACCATGACTCTGTCATTGTAATTGTTTGTAATTTGAAAGCGCTTAGAGCAGATTTGTATAAGCGCTGTATAAAATAAAATTATTATTATTATTATTATTATAATTAGCATGATTATGATGTTCCTTGAAAATACAATTTTGGTCCTTGAAAAGTCCTTAAATTTCGTTTTTGATACTCTGCACGGACCTTGTAGCCAACAAATTTATAGTTAGTATATATGCGGAATACTCTGTTTTCGTCTTATACTTAGGGGCGATCCATTAGGGTGAAAGACTATCCATTGGGGTGAAAAGATCTAGTTGGTTCAAGAATATTTTTTTTTGGACTTCAGGCGCGCGTATCGTGATCGTTATATCGCGGTGGCTTGATATATGACCATTTTTTACACATGCTCGATAAAAGTTTTTTTTAATCAAACACCAACCAAATTATAACTTAAAGTTTGATATCAAATGACACATACGACTCGAAAGGGTAGAGATTTCCTAGCAGCCGAGCTTAAGAGACTGGAACGCTTTTATCTTGTATATTCCAAGTTTATTTTTTGAGATTACMCTCCGTATTTTTTAACGCATAAGACG